GCGATCTATTTTGAAAATTTTAGTCGATCGCAGTCGAAAGCAGGTTGGCCACCCATCCCTATACGTAAAAAGTGATAATAATATTGAAACCAGTGTTCCATGTCATCTGAAATTGAATAAGTAAGTTTCAGTGTGGATGTTAATCAATATATATATATCTTTGTTTCTTTACCCATAAAATCGACCTATCAGCATCAGCAATGAGTTAACAATGACGTAAGGAATGAAATTTGTCTAAACCCTCAGACAGATATTCAACCATCATCGTAAACAATACTTCGTTTTTCGTTGTTTTGCGTGTTACTTATTTGTTTTCGAACCACCAACTTAATGGCCATTATGTCTTCCGAGAAGCTTAGTTGCAATGATCGTAAATAAGTCCCACGAACGCTGCGACAGACTGAGCCTCCTGTAAGCGGAACGTGGTCAAATAGTTTTAGTAAAAATAATGTTTCTAAACATTTAAACCATATTGTAAGCGCCATCTCTCGAAAACACTCTCTAATAGGCATAAACGTTGATTGAAATTTTTTTGTTATAATCGCTGAATTTCGTTGTCAGTGTGATTATTTTTGGCCGGCATCCTCATGTTGGTAAATCTTTCTGCCAATTCATCTTTGTTCAAATACTAACTAGTTTTTGTCCCGCGGCAGACATCCAAGTTTAGCTTAATTTTGTTTCTTGCAAAACTGTGCGTTCAGTTGAACAAACAATTCCCGAAACAAAACGTTAATATGCGATCATCGGCGACAGGTGAAAAGCAGTGGAATACAGGAGGTTCATGCGAACCCGTTCTTGCAATGTTCGCAATCATCAGCATACGAGATCTTGTTTTTTTAAAGCTATATTGGACAATATTATTAGCATTAAAGACTTCGGAAAGCATATTGATATTATTATCGTGAATGCATTATTTCGGCGTTGAATAAAAACTCCAAGACTTCGTTGGATATACCAGTAAAAAAATATCCCGTCAGTAAATCATTAAATTAGCCCACGACCTTAGTGCTTGCTCGTGTGCGTTTTTCTGATTCAGTGTTTTACTCTTGAAGCATACTACCCTGCTTTTCCAAGCGGAGTTTAAGACTGGTAATTTTGCATTTTTTTTGTATGGATGAAAATTCCGACGTTTTTTTCAACATTCCAAATTGACAAAAAATAATTGAATATCCAACGACAAATCACCAGATACCGTAGCCAACACATTTCCTAACTACATAAATATAGAGTACGCTCGCGCGCTTTTCTCTTTGTTCTATGACGAAATAATTAGTAATAGCATTGCGACAAAGCTTGTTTCATAGCAATATTAGCAGCCGTATATTAGTCTGGCAGATAAGGGGAACTTTTCGGCCCAACTTTGATTTCAGACATAAAGTTTTTTGTATTTGTGATTATTCATCTTGGGGGCATTGCCAATCATTTCTACATGGGTGTGGAGTTTGCAGCCTTGAGCAATTTTTTACTGCTCGATATTTATATTAGTGTTTTTCGTCAAACCTGTGCATCATAATAACGCACAACCTGAACCATAACCTGTTACAATTTTATGTTCAGATTGTGCGTAATCTTGGTGCACAAACTACGCAAGCACCAAATTTCTAGGAAATAAAATCAATAACTTTTAGGTATTTGTTGAGATATTTGTATCAGTGTTTTTCCTCAAACCTGTACATCATAATGACGCACAACCTGAACCATAACATGTTTCAATACTATGTTCATGATGTGCGCAATCTTGGTGCACAAACTACGCAAGCACCAAATTTACTAGGAAATAAAATCAATAACTTTTAGGCATTTGTTGAGCCCAGCTTTGGGTCGCGACCCATATACATGGAAATACTGTCGAAACCTACGCGTAAAATAAAGAGTACTATTTCAAAATACCCGTTTTGTTGCAATTAACAATACAAGCCTGCTAATGCAATCGCCAGTAGTTCAAGTGAATATACACCCGGTGGAGAACAGTCAATTATTTGTTAGCGAGAATTGTTATGCAGCGGGATGATCACGACGACGCAGTGAAAGATAATGATATCACGAGAACAAGAATGAGAAAATTGCTACATTCTATATTATTTCCCTGGGAAAGAATGTAGTTCATTCTTATGTTCCATGCCAATGCTTTTCAAACTACCAAAGACTCTCAACACTTTTGCTTTTTCTCTTCTATAAAAATATATTGTTATTATATATTCGCATTTCCATCTGTTTGTTCGTGCTTCCAGATAACCGATCAGCGGCTTCCAAGGAGGACGGGGTCCCCTTTTAAGAAACCCTGTCATAAACTAGAAGAGGCGACCGTGCTTCTCTTGCCTGTTGTCATGCTGTCCCTGGAATTCAGCTACAAAAAAAATTCACGAAAACGGATTTTTAAATTTTATGATTTCATTAATAATAATATTCTCAACCATGAATACGGGTATAAAATGATTTACGAGTGGTAAAATGTCAAGTTATTCCAACAACATGATCATGTTTTGCAATTTACAACCAATATTATGTATGTAACTTTGTTTGACAGAGCCCCAAGAGCTCTAACTAGAAATATCAAAAATGCGAGGCCAAAAAGTCACACTACAACATTGTCAAATGTGCTGTATTTACGATAGATAACAGGTTTACCAAAAAGAATTACATGAAAAATGGTAAAATAAAGATCAATTCAGAAATATCTACTTGGTGATATGCATCTGTTGATGATTCTATGTGTTTGTATCGGAAGTTTAATAACAGAATTAATTGTGGTTGCTGGGGATGTTTCAAAAAAAAGTTTGAATGGTAAAAAGTTTTCACAAAATGTCAAGGTTTAATAGTATTAGAAAAAGTGCTCCCATGTTTTTTTTTTATTTGATAACCACGCCACAGAACTTATCCGAGAAGTATACGCAGCAATTGCGAGAGGCAGAAATGCCAAGATGGGATTTCATCGCATCGCAAACCAATATTAGCAATTCTTAGCAATATATATTCGCGCATTCCCAACTGAACAGCGTGGAAAAGATTATATTTATCTACACACTTTAAGAACTATGTCAGATGAGCGTCATATTATCGAATATCAGTAAAGGAATAGTGCAATGGGAAAAAACATATAATGCAGAACTTTCAGTAGTATGCAATCAAATAATCCTATTGTAGAATATATATTTTAAAACATTTCGTCACGCCAACTGCAGTCCGAAACTTTTTGTCTCTGGCTAAGCTTAGATACCAATTGACACTCATGTAAACTGGTAAGACCGTAAGAGGCACGCAATGGAGCAGATACTAGGAGTATCCATCCCCCAGCTGTCATTTGAGTGGGTACAGCTGTTTTTATTTGCAGATGTTACTGATCTTTTCGTATTGCAGATTTACTGGCATCACCGATTTAAGGATGTTGGAAACCAAAACGCAATATTACAAAACTTACTTTCAACACGCGGTTTGAATGAATGAAAAAGCTGAAACTAGTATTCTTTAGAACAGCATACAAATTCTATGGAATGAAATCATACGACAAAAGCTCAAAAACCTATAGCTCAATAATCAAGTGGAATTTGATGCATGTGCGCAAAAATGTGCGCGTTACTACGTACAACCGAAGCACGCAGGAATGTACTAGTAATTAAAACGTTTGACTCAACTAGGTTGGCATAACAGGTGCACATCTCCACAAGGATCTATTAATTTTGCCAAAGTCAATGCAGCACTGAAAGGTTCCGGTTCTTCCAAAAGAAAACACGTTACACATCGTTAGATACCAGTGGATGGTTTTACATGGCCTTGTTCGGAGTGAAAGACGAGGTCAAATATTCCAATCCAATGCAACTAATAAAATATTTCCCAAGTCCCTAAGCTTAAACCAGGAAAACGAAATGCACGCGGCAACGAAAATGTAGTTTGAAGAGCGCAATAGAAAGTGGCTAGATGCTGTCGATGGATCTTGGCTTGTATTAGTGAAATAAACTACCATTTATTCTACTAAAATTGAATTTCTGACATTGTAAGTAGATTCAATGTTACTATGTATGCAAAACTAAACCATGTAGTTATGAAATAATTGTTTTTAACAAAAAGGCGGGCCAGAAGTATTCGTACCAAGATGGCGCACAACCTGAACATTGTATGTTTACCAGGTTAGGGTTCAGGATGTGCGTCATCTTGGTACGAATACTTTTAATCCACTCAAAAAAAAAATTGCTCAACATTATATACTCCACACCCACCTGAGTATCATTATATATGTCATCTACATTATATCTAAACAATAAAAAAAACTTTATGTCTTAAAACAATGTTGAGGCCCGATTCTGCCGGACTATATTGCCGACCAATGAATTACAGGGAAAACTTTTGTAGGGTCAAGAAGACATCGATTCACTACTAATTGAGGGCCAAGTTATGAATAATTTGTCTGATTTTTTTTAATAAGATGGAGGGTTTAATAAGATGATAATTGTGAACGAAAAATATGTACGGATTTATTGAAACCAAATATATATTGAAGTCTGTGTCACCGGACCAACTCGAATTTGTACATTTAACACTTAGGCACCATCGAAGATTCCTCTATGCAAATTTTCTGTGTTTACCCCTTTCCCTTGGTATCCTAAGCACGTGCTTATATTGTTTTATGGTCGATCCAGCCCTGACTCACATAATATAACATCAGATTGATTAATTAGAAATGAATTCTTACACGTTCTTGCATTTATGTGACGCGTGCATTGCGACGTGTGGCAGGTCATTCCTTGTTTTTATTCAGAGAAGTGCATTATAACTGGACGAATGATTCTAATTACGCCTTATATTGTTGTTATAACAAATATATCACATTGACGTGTTTAATTGGGGCGTCGAATTGTAATTCATGACGTTCGGACACGCAATCCGACGTTCCATTGAAAAGTTTAAAGCCTTCTATTTCAATAACATGGATTTAGCCTGGGGCCACGACATATTCCTTGCAAGTATATATAAAAGCAACGAAGACTTCCCTTCAATCAGAACAGTTTACAACGTTTGTATTGTTTGTATAAGGTAACATAGTTACCGATATCGAACTCTTTTCAATCAAAATGGGAAATCTTGTCCACATGCTTTGTACCTTTATGTTGTTTTGTGCACTGGTGACTGGAGAAGAAAATAAGTCAGAACCCGTAAAATGCGCCGCAAGAACACGTCTCAGCACGGCAACGTGTCCACAAGGTTGGTATATTTGATATTAATTATATTTACTAGTTTTGTGGTTTACCTCCATTTAATATCGAAAAATATTGTTTAACTGATCTAAATAAGCCATCTAACTAAAGCTCTAATTTATAATAACACCATATAGGTAAATTACACTTATAATAATTTTATATTTGAAAACATTTTTATAGTTTCATCAAATGCTATCTGTTACGACGCCTGCAATGGTCGCGAGATTACTGCACGGAAAGAATGCAAAAATACGCCAGAGTGCTGTTTTGTCAAAAATCGATGTGTTCCAAAAGAGAGTAAGTACTTTCTTGAATGCGGATTGTCATTAATACGGGTCTAGGACGATTGACAAAATTTTCCTATTAGTGTGAATTGAGTAGAAACTTAGATTGATTTTAATTTTATATATATACATATTTTCTTTCAATAGTTTACAATAGTGTTTTATTTTTAACGTAGTGGTAGCAGCTACATTTGAGGAAGAAAAGAAAAGCGAGGAAGAAAAGGCAGTATTTGAAAAATTCAAGAAAAATATGGAAAAACCGGATGACAATGATGAATCACACAAAAGCATGCTGTCGGCAAGAAATCTCAATATGGGAGGTGAGAACAGCTTCATATAACACCACAAGCAAAAATAAAAATTGATTAATTATACTACGAATGCGTTTTGATGGAATGTCCATATTGCCAATATCAAAAGTATATTTGTTCCTCTATGGATATTATTCGAAAGGAACGACTACGACAACAATCGTTTTCTGAATAACATAGCTAATTTTACTTACTTTATCATTATAGCTTACTATACTTATTGAAACTTCATGTACTTTTTTCAGGATTTCCCGGAATTCCAGGACCTCCTCTCCCACTTGGCGTTCACGGTGCTTTACCATTTGGATCAATTCCATCACAATCCCCTTCAAATTGTTTAATTTTTCCATTTAACTGTCCACCAGTGACAAATGTTGACGATATTTTGATTCCACCGGTAAACATTCCCTACTGCCAAAGGTAATGTAAATTCTTATATTTAAGGGGTTGAGACGGTATAAATACCGGCTGACTTTACAAGTAAACAAATAATTGTAAATAGCCTTAGAAGAGATATTTTTTTGGAATGGAAACTGCCTTTGCAATGTGGTTTATCGATCGTGAGGTAGTTAGTATAAGTTCAGTTCGTCCAGACACCCAATTCTTTAAATGTATAAGTCAAATGAACAGGCGATCATTTGTTGAAAATAAAAACGATATTTCTGTAAACTTTCAATTCAAAATATCCTTCTTTGTAGAGAATACTGCTCATTAGCCGACTATTCACTAGAAGATAACTTGGAGGCATGTCTGATGCAACCTGGTTGTTATTTTGACCGGGAATTGCATTCACTTCGCAAAGCTTTTGGGCATCGCGTGTTACCAACAGTTCCAGTTTGTCACATCGCTATCAAGAACCATTTTTTCCAGAAGAAATGTCAGAAACATATTCAGCGGGTAAGATATCATTTCGCTCTTCAATTTATTGTTTTATATCTCAAAACTTCTCGATTTTTCTCGAAAATGTCGTAATGTCAAAAGACATGGCCGTTTTTTTTAAGTAGATAAAATGAATCGCCTGCTGTTTGATTTGTTAACATGGCCGACCCCCTCTTTCCATTGGACAATGGCATAAATAATATGAAGTGTCTAACATTCAGCAAAAGTGTTTCAGGTTTATCATTTTCTTATTTTTTTCACGAGATGTCTAATATGATTTTATTCGCGGAATTAATTAGGTAGTCTTTAACGAAATGAGTTATATTAAACGAAAAAAATAGTGTGTCGTTTCGTAATGCATGTAACCAATCGTCTTATTCAGTGCGACTTTTCAATCAACATACATTTTTTTATTTAGTTTGGAAAATGGAATCCAGCTTTAACAAAATGCATGATGACTCAACACTACAGTGAAATATATTCTCCTCCGAAAGGGTGTGACATGAATCAAGTAATTGAATACTTTGGATATCTACCAAAAATGGCAGGATGGACAGGTGCATAAAATTTCACTATAGAAGCAAACTTTACATAATGCTTGAAAGAAAACTAAAATATTTTGTAATTTTTTTTTTTTTTATAGGAATTCTAGAAAAAGAATGTTATCTCATTAATGGGTGCTGGAGACCGGGACATGGTTGCTTCTATCCAATGCAACTGTCTGAAATCATTGTGAAATCTACAAATATAGACATCAGTGGCAGGAAACTTGCGTCAGCAACTCAGATATTCGGGATGCCAAAATGTCAGAATTTCGACAGCTCGACTCCTGAAAACTTCCTCAGAAGTTATCACAATTGTTTGTCTTCGGGATGTTCTCTCGATCCTTCTGTAACCAGTCAGTTGTACTACTATAATCTTTGGAACCTGACGCAGTCTCTTCCACCACAACTCCAATACCTTTCATGGGTCGATATAGCAAAGTCCAATATGAGAGCCGACAACTTTGAAGAACAAATCAAAAAGTACCAAGAAATGTCTGGTTCAGATCGTGGATTTTCAATGATGAATTCCATCAACACCGGGTCAAATTTCCAAGTCAGCCATCTATTGCATTCCCTTACTCCAACACCAAACATTCTAGGAAATGGTATTTTAAACACTGGATTAAATCAGAATCCACTGAACTCTCTTCTTGGCAACACACTTACAGGAACAGCAAGTTTAAATGGCATGGGGTTCCTCGGCAACTCTTTTACAGAGTCACCCATAATAAAAAGCATTGATAACGTAAACTGTCCATATCAACAGGTCAATCTGTATAACTTTCCTCCACTCAAAGGAAGCTTTACTGGATGTTGTGAAAAAAATTTATGTTATCTTCCAAAGAAAACTCAAAACATACAAACGTCTGGAATAGCAAATTATTATGCAACCTGGACCCAGTGGACTACTTGTACCGCAACCTGTGGCGGAGGACAGATGTCACGTACAAGACTTTGCGTTAGTCGCTCAGGAGGAAAATGTGGTGGAGTTGCTGACGAAACGCGTGAATGCAATACTAGGAGGTGTCCGAAATGGTCACAGTGGAGTGGGTATGCGCCCTGTAGCGTGACCTGCGGAGCGGGTAAAACGACTCGCACCCGTAAGTGTTTAGGTGTTGGTTGTGTGGGATCTTCACAGTCAGAAGCAGTATGTAACTCAGGAAGATGCCCTGTATTCTCAGACTGGACGCCATGGAGCGAATGCAGCGTCACTTGTGGAGAAGGTAAAAAGTTACGATTCAGACTTTGTGAAAATGGGGGCGACTACGGATGCCCTAAAGAAGATCCAGTTAATGAAATTGGATGTAGATCTTACTGCGGAAAAATGACGTGGAGTGAATGGTCTGAGTGTGATTACAAAACGTGCACCAGGAAGAAAACTCCTCGTTGTGATCACAATGGTGCTAGAGGATATTGCCTCAACTTTCCCAAACCGGTTACAGAAAAGTGCAACCAAATGACGTGCTATTGCAGGAATTATCCTGGAAATATTCTTTGTGCGGGTTACAACGGATAAGTCCAATTATTTATTTATTCATGTCTACTAGCGTCATCTTATATGATTATATATTATATATTTCTTCAGTTAACATCGCTATTTAGGTTTTCCTGGAAATGGAATGCTATTTGATGTTCATACTTATTTTGCATTTGTATTCGTAAAATATCTGTTTTGTATTTTTGAAAGATGTAATACAAATCACTGTATTGAAATATTTATAACGTTCTTGTTTCCATTGGTCATAAGGCAGTTACAGATTTTAAGGGTTTGTTATATCTGCCCTACAGACTTTTTGAACCCTTTACTTTCGCGGAAACTCGCATGTTCGGATAGGAAATAATAAATCTTGCCCCTCCTGACCGGAACAACATGTAGACATATGCTGAGGTAAAACAGACATAAAACAAAAACAATGAATACACAAAAGGTTGGAAAAACCTATAATAACGTTCAAAACACGTTGAAATACACAAACATAACTTGCGTAGCATAAACAAACTGCAGACACGGCGGTTTCCCATATACAGTATAAATGTTTACACGCCTAAGCTAAGAGCACATGGACAATAGCCGGATTTCTGCAAACTAATAAATTGATTGAGTTATATCGTAAATATATACTACTATGTTATAGAACTGCAAAATAGTGTGTTATGTATTCTAAATTCGACGAGTTGTACTCTAGCCCAGGGCTACTCACTTATTTTTACCGAAGATCCGCATACAAAACTTCAAAAATATTTGGGTCCGGACTTTCCAGAAATTATATTTAAACACGCACTTCCTCGACAGACTAATGATTATTAGCTATATAAGATTGTTTATTATGGCGTTAGAGTTCTTTTCATATATATATTTAAACCTATCGACGGAAGGTCCGGATTCGGACCGCGGTCCGCCAGTTGAGTAGCCCTGCTCTAGCCTAGCGCACGAGGTGCAACGTAGTTTCATATAAACAGAAAATTTCTCACCGTTTCTTCCTAAGTTTCTTGGGTATGTAAAATTGGAATGACAATGCCAAAGTAATCCACATTATTTGAATCCCGTTCTTTCGTTGCCCGCCATTTCAATTGTAAACTGTTCCGAATTTTTATATCCATACATGACACATGTTTCCAAGTCCGCCAACGGAGTTGTTATCTTCGTTCATCTGATCGCATCGACGCGTCTGTCTCGCACCTCGTCCCAAGGTACCGAGATTTGGAAGTGGCTGGACTTACAGTCATAGAAATAGTTGAATATGGTGCTCGTACAGCAGTACCGTGGTATTCAGGTCCAACAACAACTGAAAAAGAGCTGACAATAGTAATTTACGCAAAATGGGAAAAATCATTGAAATTCCCAACTAAATGCTTTATAAGTCAAATTGATGTCCAAAATAATTAACACTGTAACAAGCAGACAAATGAATGGAGCAGGGAAGCCAGGAATTCTGTAATTATTGTAGTGATATATCATTGATAAATCATAATATACTGGAAAAATCGAAAATACACATGATCTATCTACTTTCACCCAAAATGGGGAAAATTAAAAAAAAATGTTACATATTACTGTATTATTATAATATGTACCGTATATTACGCAATAGTTCAATTTTAATATTCTGATTGGTAAAATATTTGGCAAAAAAATTTTTGATTTCATTAATATGGGCTACTACTATATAAGTTATATTTTTGTTTAACTTTTCAAAATCTTTTTTTTATCATGCAAATATAAACCAAATAATCAATATTATAATAATATTTTGGACAATATTCACTTCAAATGGATCTATGATGAACATAACGTAGGATCTGGATATCATACGTACATAAAATCAATTCTATATTGGCACTGGATTTTAATTGGGAAAAAGGGAAATTATTTTGTACCTTGTCAGCTTTTGTTCTGTCTTGTAACAGGTTGAGGCAGTAAGGTTTATAGACTTATACACTTTTATCTGTATATACCGTAGCGGAGTGGACATGTCTCGATCTACAATACATGCATTACTATTCACTGCAATTATTCTGTTTCACTCTGGATTTTGCATAGAGCTAAAAGGTAAGTTACTACAATAATAAGTTACATGCTCAACAGAGTCGGACAGAAGAACCTACATGAGTGATGAATACCTTGTCTTCTTTCACCGCTGGTTTAGTTATCTGTATAGTTCTGAATTGATTTGTTAGCCATCCTCTCTGACACAATACTGCAATATTCAAAGTCAAGCGTAAATTTTTAATATTGTAAATAAACACTTAAACAATAAAATTGGGATTTTCACAAATTTATGCTCAAAACACTGTTGGAAATGTTGAATGTTATCATACCAAATTTTATATCAATTTCTTGTAGATTTACGAATTCGAAGACAAGTTATAGGCTCTTCAAATGATGATTTATCAGTTGGTGATCTTGTGGATCCCATTGGAGACATTGACAATGATAAAGATGCACCATTAGATTCTCCAAGATCTGATGCTGGAGAGAATGTACAGCCTCCCAATGATGATGGAGATAATACTGGAGAGGGTGTACAGCCTCCCAATGATGATGGAGATAATGCTGGAGAGGGTGTACAGCCTCCCAATGATGATGGAGATAACGCTGCAGAGAGTGTACAACCTCCCAATGATGATGGAGATAACGCTGGAGAGAGTGTACAGCCTCCCAATGATGATGGAGATAACGCTGGAGAGAGTGTACAACCTCCCAATGATGATGGAGATAACGCTGGAGAGAGTGTACAACCTCCCAATGATGATGGAGATAACGCTGGAGAGAGTGTACAACCTCCCAATGATAATGGAGATAACGCTGGAAAGGGTGTACAGCCTCCCAATGATAATGGAGATAATACAGGAGCGAGTATACAGCCTCCTAATAATGATGGGGATAATACTGGAGAGAATACACAGCTGCCCAATGATGATGGAGATAATACTGGAGAGAATGTACAGCCTCTCAATGATGATGGAGATAATAATGGAGAGAGTATGCAGCCTCCCAATGATGGAAATAATGCAGGAGAGAATGCACAACCTTCCAATGATGATGAAGATAATACTGGAAAGAATATACAGCCGCCCAATGATGATGGAGATAATACTGGAGAGAATGTACAGCCTCTCAATGATGATGGAGATAATACTGAAAAGAATATACAGCCGCCCAATGATGATGGAGATAATACTGGAGAGAATGTACAGCCTCTCAATGATGATGGAAATAATAATGGAGAGCGTAAGCCTGCCAATGATGGAAATAATGCAGGAGAGAATGTACAACCTCCCAATGATGATGTAGATAATGCTGGAGAGAGTGTACAGCCTCCGAATGATGATAGAAATAATGATGGAGATGGTGTACAGCCTCCCAATGTTGATGGAGAAGGTGTGCAGCCTCCCAATGATAATGTGATAACTTCCAATACCGATCCGCAAAATATCATTCCATCAACATCTCCCAATGGTCTAGATATAGAGTCTACAGAAACAACTGGTTCTACTGTTATTAATGAAGAAATCATTGTTCCAGTTACTGAAGAGGATGAAAATTCGCAGAATGATAAGGTTATAACTATTAGAAGTACCAGTCAACCTTATGATGATGGTGTCAATGTTCCCACAGAGGTCCAAGAAATTTTTTCGCCAACCATGATCAGACAGCTGATGACACAACAAGCAACAGGTCGTATGACAAGTCCACTTTATTATCAATTGACCACCAGAGATGGAAAAGTTCAGAATATCCCTTTGACTACAGTCTTTCCTAATTCAAAACAACCACAATATGTAACTAACATTCCAGAGTTGTATACTGCCAATGATCTTGAAGAAAATTCTAATATTTCTTCAGAGAGTCCTTTGAATTCTCCAACATTATCAACTGAAGATTCAAATGCCTTATTAACAAGTACAACAAAACTTGAAACTACCACATCTATCGCGGAAGAAATTACAGAATCAGCAACTACCACAAATATAATTTATACCACAGAGCAAACCAGTCATTTTACAACACCTGAGCAAATCTCAATTGAAGAAACAACACAACCTGTCAATTCATTTGAAATTACAACCAAAGCAACAACACCATCACTCCAGACAACATCTTCTGGCATAAATAATGTTCCTGAAATTAAGATGCCAGGAGAATCCACTATTGAAAACACAGAAGTTGTAACCCACAACAGGTAATTTTTTTTTTATTCCCGTTTTATCAATCTAAGATTACAACACATATTAGTAACCTTGCTTTATGATTGCTTTCTTATGTGACGATGCGAAATTTAAAGCTATCTAAGCAGTGTGATGTCAACACAACGAGGTTAATACTAAATTATGAAATTATGGTAGTTTTAGTATAGTATGACTCATGTTTTAATAATCAACTGTTATTCAACTTAATCAGGAATATTTTGAAATGAATTAGTTGTTTGGGTTTTCATCAGGCTTTATATCAGGCCAATAATATACGAGGTATTTAGTTTATATGGAAGAAGGTATTTGCATAAAATGTTGATTGTTGACAATTGTGTTATTGAGGTTAATTAAAACTCCAGTTTTATGTCAATGACTTATGACTCAAGAATTTAGGTCTCTCAGGAAAATATATTGTTGTCAATTAATAGTAGAGGTAGCTATTCAAAGGAGTGCTGACTTCAATACTAAAATTATGTATCATCCTGAAATGGTCCTTGCATGATCAGAAGTAATTTAATGTTTAAAACCGATGTGCACATATCCCGCTGACAGCTATTTTTCTATGACATGATTGGGAATAGTAGAATAAAATCGGTCAAAATGTTCTCATATTTTCTTTGTATAATATGCAGATTTTCTAATACTTGGGATTTGGGAAACATATGCATGATAATAATTTACAAAGCAAGAATTTTTCGAGCCTCTTTGCTGCGTTTTGTTTTATTGATTAGAAACCCAAAGTCCAATCTCAATATCATGTTGTAATTTTTAGGTAATTCAAAAGACCCTTGTTTGTAATACAATCTAAGATATTGAGCAGGCAAATCCAGTTAATAATTAACAGCACAAAAATGGAGAAAATAAGCAAGCTAGACAGGATTTATGTAAGCTAGGGATTTGTGGTGTGATTGGTCTAAGCATGATATCATAGGCCGGTGGACTTTCAACACAGGTAATCAAACACTGATTATTCAACACATTACAAAGTCACAATCCATGGCACGTGCCATTTGATATTGAAGCAAATTTTTATTGATATTTTTCAGAAAGCGACCCTCTTTAGATTTTACTGGAAGAGAAGGTGAGCCTATTGATGATGATACTTACAAAGAAGAACCTACAGCTGCTTCTGTTGTATCAACTTCACTACCAGGTATGTTGCATCAATCAATTATTTTTGAGCTGTCCAATGTAGCATCATTATAAAAGAATAAAGTCACACCACTGATTGGCACTTTTGGTGTATAATTAGCAAAAAAGAACTAAACATCATGCTTGGAGTCGTGATGAATTGAATTTTTATTGATCACTCGGCAGTGTGGCGCATCATGCTAAGCGTTAAGAACGCTTGTCACCGCACCTCTGATTATCATGCATGGGTTTGCACTGTTTGCAGATTCAAACCCTGTGGGAGATAGTTATGTGTGAGTTAGTATGGTGGTTCACGTAATCGCTGGTCGGCTACTGCTTCCTCCACTATCGAGTCCATGCTTTTAAAAGAAATCCTATACTCGATATGGACTGGTAGGTCGGACTAAAGGTCGTAGTTCGCGTTACAACATCAAATCATATTCTTTGTACACCAGTAAACTACATTTTTCTTTTCTGATCATTTTGAAAAAATCTTGATTTACCTGACTCCTTCTCATAGACATTTTTTTTATTACCGGTAAATAGCAAATTTTCAGTGTGTACTGAAGCATGATTTTCAGAAATTTGAGAAAATGTGCTCATGATAATGTTACTCATGATAAGAACTGAGAATCACATGAGAACTCTGACTCATCATATGATTAGGCAATCTTCGACTTTCCTTTTTCCTGGGATAAATATGAAATTCCTATTTTATCCTGCTTGTTAGTAAAATATACAGTATCGTGTATAACATTATGGTTGCATTTTTTTTTTCAGAAATGTCAACTGTGAATGGCACGGAGAAGAAAACAGACAAAGGTGAGTGTTAGATGACTAGAAAGATCCTTAGACTAATGATATATAGAGATCATATAAAACTTCTTATTAATTATGTTGCTTGATATCACCAACTCCCAAATTTCGAGATTGCAGGTTTGCATCCTGTGGGAGATAATTATGTGCGAGAGGTTTACTGGACTCCGTTGCGAGGTTGTTCACGTTACGATGGGACGGTTACGTCTTCCTCCACCATCAAGTCCATAAGTCTGAAAACAAAATAACTAGCTAACTAATCCCATACCCCGAGGCAAGAGGTCGTGGTTTACCATATGATTGGGCCGCCCTGACAGCTTTCCTCTCCCCCGTGATAAATATGTAAATCCTAGTTGTTTCCCAGTAATGTTTGGAAACCCAGGTTCAGCATTTTTTTCATCAATCAATCAATCAATTTTATTCGGTCACTCTGATACAAACAAAACAACAACAAAGGGACAAACAAAATACAGAGGACCTGGAGGACGGGCATAACTTAATAAAAAAGTTAAATACGTACAAGTACGTGCCCGTCCCCCAAAAACAGAATAAAACAAAAACATGATGTAACATCGGGCAACAACTTGTAAATTCAAATTAAAATGTGAGACGTGTATGTGCTTTTCCTATACAGATATATGGATTAAAACACTCGCTGACGAAAAATGGTGATGTTGTGGGCCTACTTCAATTATATTGCAAAAATAACACAGTGACAAATTCTTTTTTACTAAAAAACAAGTTGGGTAAATAGATTGAATGTTCCATAGCAGTCTATGCACAAATCATGGATTAGGTTCTTTTGTCGTTTTCGGTTGGTTCACTTTAAAATCATTGTATCCGTTCCAATGCTTCCAACATTAATATCGAATTTCCACGCACGACCACCATTCAGCCATTCCAACAGGTGCAGTGATCCCATCTTTTCTACGCTCTGTTCCATCATACACGACTAGATTCATAAAAAGATCGAAACCTCGCAATATACCCGTAACAAATCGTCCACCATTCAACTTTAAATCCAATCTTTTATCCATAAACTACTTTAATTCTAGTGGATGGGCTTTGCTCATGTTGATAATGCGCGATACAGACTACAGATACCAAGATATGCACCTCTTGATTCACCGGGTACTGAACCGCATAAGTTTTCTGTCAGCATTCTGCCTTGAGGACAGACTTTTGTATGTGGGACACTCCCTAATTAACAGTGGATGAGAATAAGAATGATTTTATTGCTATTTTATTCTTTTCATATTAGGTATATTGGATACAATAAAGAAAACTGCTCAGGATGTTGTGGTAATATTTGTATATGTTTTTTTATCCTTATCAGATTGTAATCTAGGTCTAACCAATGGCATCTTTTATCTAATATGTCTGTTAGGTGTGTATATGTTTTTCTTTATTTTGATCAGATTATAATCTAGATCTAACTAATGGCATCTTCTATCTAATAAGAGTGTTAGTTTTTTGACAATATTTCACAAATGTATCTCTTTGCCTAGAACAAATATGGAGCATTTCAAGTTTCTCTCATTATGCTTGCTGTGATCTTTGTAATGTTCATCTCAATATTCTGTTGTTGCAAGCTCTGTGGAAGAAGGGCGTATAAAATGCGACAGAGGAGGTTGAGGGTGAGTTTATATGTTTAGGTATTTTCCCTCTGAGCACTTTGCATTGAAACATGGCGTCCTTGAATTGTATATCATAATTAGTTATGATTGTATGATGCAGCTGTTATGAGCTAATGTTATCAAACAATTCTGGAATTAGCTAGAGATATCTCGCTTATAGTCAGCTTTTGTCATATTGATTCACTCAGACCTAATAAATTCGCCGAATTTCGTTTGCAAATAGAAAACTGTTTCTTTTTTTTTCGTGGCCCATTAACCAAAGGAAAATCAAAATCTCTGTGCAAAAATGGACACTTTCCCTTTAATTAGAATGAAAATTACCATTCAATAGCAGAAAACAGCATTATCAATCATTTGTACTACAATCGAAATCAAGGATAGTGATACATATAAGTAGCTATTTTTTATAGTTAATTTTTAACTGTAATTTAACTTGACAATGAAACCTTCTTACATCCTGGTTCAATAGAAAGTGTTCAACGAATTATCTCTTGGAAGGCAAGTCTAGTTTGGTCCTCACATATCAAGTCTTTATTAAATAAAGTCAGGAAGTGATGAAACTATTCAAGTGCAAAATTAAAATATCAGCTAGTAAATCTTTCATCTTATATGGACACTAAAAGTCTTCACAAATGAAAGAATTATAACGAGAGAGACGAATGTATGACACAAAACATGAACTGATACAATAATTATTCGCGATATTGTGAAAATTACAGCATAAGTATTGGAAGAGAAAATGCAAATACCTAACTCAATGAGTTGTGAAAAGCTCCGCTTCCATAGTTTGTTTTGTAATAATACTTTACCAATTTTTCTTGAAATCCTTCCACAACATTATACCATGTCTAGTTGTGACGCGCTATAAGTAATTCATATATGACATATGATGCTGTTACAATTTTACCAGATTTTTTTTCAATTTTTACTCAAACATTGACTATCACTTACAAGAACTCTCTGAAAACCACATTGCAATCTCACTCCCAATGGTAATCCAACATTTGCCCAGTTAATACGCCAGATTATTCAGCATTTGGGTTTTGCGATTGTGACATATGGCGATTTGCATCAAACAGAATGAGAGATCGGTTCCACGTCTCAGTGTACATATTACTGACTACAGATTTATAACTTGATGTTTAGCATTTTATACTCATTCACCTTTTTTCATAAATATTTTATCGAATTATAATTATGTAATTTATTTCAATGCTGCTGGGATTATTATAGTTCCATGTTCATGACAGTTGTGGAATAAAACATGTGAGTACATTTGATAATCGAAAGCTATCATTATTGTGGCTTTCCATCCATGATTTCAGAAAGTGTACATTTGAGGATATTTTACTTTTATCAAATATTCAATAATACCAACACACTTAGTTGTTATTCGTTCATTCGTGTAACTGGTGCTTGCGCTTCTATACCAAAATAGTCATCATAATCTAACCCACACCTACCAGTGAACAAAATTATTACTGAGTGTCGCTTCCATGCTGGACAAATATCGGCAATTTGCCGTATTGTTGGAAGTTGAAACTCTTTTTCCCAGATTGGTAACTCATTTTTGACACTGTATTATATCTGTGGGCTCTGGCCTACTTTGAGAGTATTTCCCGGTGTTGTGAACATAAACTTAAATAAAAACAATAAATCTAACTCATGAAAATTAAAAAAAAAATTTTTATCTTTTAGTCTTAATATGTACCGAGAAAAATATTTTTTGTCATATTTCCCATCAGATAATAAAATATCTTGCTGATCTTTCTATTGCAGGAATTTGGACAAGAAAAAGAATTTTTACTAAGAGATAGGAAAAAGGTAATTTCCTTCAATAATTCTTGAGCAATGCATTTACTATTCTATATTTACTATTTCTATACTTACTAGTAAAGTGCAAGACCGACACCAGTCTGCGGACCTGCGGTTGGGAAATGATTTATACTATAAATTTTATAGGCTGTGAGGTAGCAATTGATGAATATAATACTGGCCATAAATCCACACACAGCACTAAACATATTATTCATTTTGCTAGTCGACCTCCTAATGACATTGAGAATTAAGTTGGATACAGAATATTATATACAAAATATACTATCAAAAATATTTTCTATTGCTATGATTTCTGACTTTCAATACACTTTTTACGTATTTCTTCTACTAGATCATGTCAGCTTTAAACCTCGATTTAATATATTGATTTTTCAATTCAGAATTTTTCATGTTCTACATGTAGAAATAAAAAGTATTGCTACAAAAGATATTTCTAAAATCTAATTTGAAAATTTATGTTATCTTTTACCAGAATGATCGTTATTCTAATGATGCTGTTACTTTGTTGGAAGGCTCTTCTGAAGATGAATTTTGATGACAAGCCTTTATTAGGAAAATTATTGGTATGGGCTGCCATCGATACTTGCTGGAAAAGAAAGCGTGATCTGTTTGATATAAACATATAAATATTTTAGAACTAGAAATATTCCTATAATATGACAAAATATTCAAAAGTTATTATTACTATTGCATAGATAAAGTAGCTCTGAATGGAGATTTTAAAATCAAGAAATGAATGAAAACAAGACAAACTCCATGGTTAAGTAACTGGAACCTATCAAGTTAATTGAGTTTACTTCGTATCACAGTTCTTTGTGTTTTGAAATGGATCTTGAGCATCAAAAATTAGCATATTTTGCTAAATAGATATTGTTTTTCTACTTTTACCTGAGAGTTGCTCGGCCGATACATATACAATATAAACTCATATGATATATATTCTAGAAAATGTAGGTCGCTATTTTTATTTATCTTATATGTTTGACCATGCATATTACAATAATAGGCTCCAACGGTACATTTGCACTTTTTTTGTGTCTGCGTTATACCTATTTCATTTATTATGGTTCTGAAAACAATGATCATGTTTCAATCCTTGTTATAAATATGTTCGCTATCTGGCAAAATTCATAATTCTCTGAGTGTTTCCTAACCAAGATCAAACTTTAGTTCAGTATTGAACTGTTATGTGATTTACACAGTTTTGATGGTATGAATTTTTACATGTACTTCAGCAATATTCTTATTCTTTTTTGCCTAATAGCAGCCTCAATAATTTTTTATTGAGATATAACTCATTAATTACACCTGATTTGAATCGAGTACTTCAATATTGTTAATCATAATTCAGTGAAGCATTTGTCATCATTAATTTACTGTGAAATCCAATGAATTTTCTTCAATTTTTTATTATTTCTGTAGCACTTTTTCTGTAACACATATTTTTGTAATTTTCTTTGCCTAGTATTTTTTCCGCCCTTGCAATATTGATGATTTTGAAAACAACCCAGCTGTAGCTAGTTCTGGGCTTCTGCAATGTTGTGTATAAATTTTTTCAAAGCAATGAAATTTTCATTGGTATTGCCAATTTCTCGACTGAGAACTAAAGTGAAATATACTGGTAAATATCCTGTTGTGTCTACCAGGTTTCTTCCAGATGAACCGGTGTGCGCATTGACAACTGCTGATCATTGAGACCCATTCAACTTCTAATTACAGTTTAAGTGATGCACTGGAAAATATTTCTGTTAAAAAATTAATTCTTTGAAAAATGTAAATTATATGTATGTACCGTAGTTCTCGAATATTTTGGTTAAAGCATTGCGAAATCAGTTATAGCAGAACTATGTATGTATATTTGTCACCACTTCGGAGTGATTGTTTTTTCTCCTGCAACGCCCTGAAGAACAACAGTAGTTACTATTTAAAATGTTATTTGCTTAGTTATAATATCAAATACCAAGTGCCATATAAAGTATTTGCTTCCTTATGTTACATATGCTTTAATAGATGTGTCTACTAATTTCTTATTCTTGAGAGTATTGAATAGATATTTTCTGTAATTGTCTTATCTCATGTCTGGCCCTGGTGGTGCCAGAACTGTAAGTTATATCTGGATTTTAATCATTTACCTGTTCCTGACAATACTTTTCTCTTTTCTAAAGCTACCTTAGTGGGAATGTCATGGGCCCCATTGACCATTTTTCTCATGCAATTATAATATGTATATTTGCGACTGGGTAGGGCCTTGATTAAGTCTTATCATCAAACAGGCTTACCAACCTTGTCCCTCTAATTTTTGTGAAAATGTTATATTTGTGTTGAAAGACTTGCATTTTTCAATACCATTAAATTTTTAATATTGAGTTTACAGAAGGACATATAATCCTTATTCGCTTCGAAAAAAATGGGGTTATTCTATTTCATCCATGACAATTATTTGTCGGAATGTTGCAATTCGTCATATTTGATGACTATTTCACACGGACCAAAGTCTCTGAGATTTTTCCAATATGGTTCGATTTTAAATTTGTAACTGCGGTTTAACATATTGTATTAAATTTAATTTGTAGTAGACTGTTTGTACTCTTTCAAATGTACTGGGAAAATGATCTGCAATTTCAAGTATTGTATTAAATTTACCCCAATATATATCTTGAAGTACTAATGCCATGGCTAGTAAAGTAACGAGTATTTGTCATGTTTAGAGTCTGAAATGAAATAGTTGGGACTTGGGAGTGTAAATTAGATATGAAATACATTGAATTTTGTTGTCAGAATCCGATTCACTGGAACCAGCTAATTCTGTATATTGTTTTCATGCTTATTTGCAAACTTAGAATGTAGCCAAATGTGCATGATACCGTTGTGATTTTGCAGAGATCAGGCAAACGTCAGTAGGAACTTGTTTAACAACCTATGCCTTTAGGAACTGGAGATTGAACCCTAGAGAATCGGCCTGGTCATGAATGGCTAATCTGTGTCATAATTTGGGATTATGTCTAAATTAAATGTATTTTGGGGGGTCAATAGTATTTCATAGTGGTCTGCATGTGAACAAAACCAATTTCAGAACTCAAAATGTTTGAGTTTACATTATCCATGCTTGATCCGCGTGTTCTTAATTACGGTGACGTCATCATATTTTTTTTTATGTATAATTTTTATTTTGCAACAAGGTCAATTTTATTTGTATGAGTATTTCAAAGCCCAAAAATAAACAAAGAATCTGTTGTTAGTTGAAAACGAAGTATTTTGAACGCGCGAGCAACGTTCTTCGGCTCATAATAAACAAACAAAGATACCAGACAGCACGCGATCAAATGCTCTTCGATAAAACGAATATCACTTCACTTACAAATCCCACTTTTGTTTTATTTTGAAGGTGACGTAAAGCTCTTCTAAAAGAGAACTCTTTCTCTCGCATATCAATCACGTGTCGACCACAGCGTTAAAAGTGAGAAACTTTTTCTCGAAATATTTTGAAATTTCTCTCTTCTTACCGGCGTACGGCCGTACACATTTACGCTACGTAATTTGGGCGCGTTTTAGTGGAAAGCGACGAAAATAAGCTTTTTAGGGCACATTAATGATGTCTTTGGCATATTTGGTTGGTGAAATATTAAAAAAATTATAGAGGGGTGTCAAAATGACCCAGGAACACCAGCGGTCATTAGAAAGAAGCCTAATGATGTTTGAGAAAACGAATATTGTTGAGCATCTTTGTTGAAAAACATTCTCTAAGTTCCGTAAGTTATGACGTGAATATTTTAATGAACACCGAACTGGTCGGAGTATTGAATATTGTTATGCCATAATTATATGAAGTTTGAACCACACCAACTGTACTGTCGTTGAATCTCCGGAATGTCGAAAACAAAGTGCGTAACGTTTAAACTATTAGTAAGCCTCGGAATGGAACCAAAGTTAGCTTACCAATCGGCACCGTCCCGGTTTTTAGCTCCATATATATAGTAAGCCTAGAAATAGGGTTTCGCAATCTTTAACCCGGGTTTTTGAGAGTTTCGTTTTTTTTTCAAATATATGCATTTGGTTTCCTACTATGTATTAAAAAAAAAAAATGCTCGCTTTCGATTTATTACAAAACAAAATTGACGATTGCTTCTACGTTCTATTCTTGTTCACAATTTGGCCACCCAACCCACCGTTCATGCATTTTATTTTACTCCTCAAATTGTATTAAAAATGCTTTGGACACATAAATACAAATCCACCCCGCTGAATCAATTATGGTGGTGGTAGTTTTTTTTTCCGTATTCCGTTTTTACTGTTTGAACCCGTCCAACCTCCAGAATCTCGACCCCATCTAAATTTATAATTGTTTGATATATGAAACACCCGACCTCTAGTTATCCAACATCATTGACAACTGGTGCCAAACGGAACGATTCCATCACAAATTTAAAAATTACTCCAATAAATTTTGTGCCCGATTTGGATGGAATTGAACTGGCTGGCCGTAAAAGAGTTCCTTGGTTTAGCCCAAAACGTGTTTGATGCGCTGCTGCGTTCAAAATTTTTCGAAGGTTTAGAGGCTGACATGCAGAGGCACCTTCGTTACCCAGAGCCCGAGTCATTTGAGGAACTGGTGAGGGCAGCAGTAGCATTTGAAGATTAAGAACGTTCTGGCCGTAAAAGCGTTCCCTGGTTTAGCCCAAAACGTGTTTGATGCGCTGCTGCGTTCAAAATTTCTCGAAGGTTTAGAGGCTGACGTGCAGAGGCACTTTTGTTACCCAGAGCCCGAGTCATTTGAGGAACAGGTGAGGGCAGCAGTAGCATTTGAAGATTAAGAACGTTTTCGTTTTGCATCTAAGTCATCCTGAAACCGATTGTTGCAATAGCCCAAAATGTTTTCGACAAACCGGGGGGAGAAACAATTCAAAAACAGGAACAGCCATGTTGTGATTTTTCCAAACAAATTGAGGGATTGCAGGTAATTTTTAAACAGTTGGTAGAAACGCTGTCTGCCCACATTTCCCAGTCTGGCCCCCCTTATAGGTATTCCAATAGTAATAATCGTCGTTCTCGCTTACGTGGAGCATGTTATACCTGTGGTGCTTTTGGCGTCTATCGTAATAATTGTCCACATCGTCCCTGCCCACGTTGCAATAATCCCGGACATTCTGGTCAAGCTTGCCCCCATGCTACAAGGAATAGTAGATTTAAAATCTCAACAGCGATTATGAGGTCCACATTTTTTGCTGCGCCCACTTGTTCAAACATTTGTTTGGAACAATATGATGTCGAAAACTTAATCATTTTATTCTATTCCTAAGTTAATTGATCCTAGTTTATATGAATGCATTTGGGGGGGGGGGGATTAGGGCCATGTTCTGTCGCAATCTATAGAGCCTTGAATGAGATCACTCTGAAGGACGCGTATAGCCTGCCACACATGGAGAATGTTGTCGAAACATTGGGCGGAGCCAGAGGTTTTTCAACGCTTGATCTTGCGGGTGGATACTGGCAGATGGAACTGGATGAACGAGATCGTGAGAAAACTGCATTTTTTGTGCCTGGAAGAGGGCATTCCAAGTTCTGTGTGCTCCCCTTCGGCTTGTGTGACTCGGGAGCACAGTTCAGCCGCGTTTTAGAGCACATGCTGAGAGATGTTTTGTGGGGATCATGCGTTTCATTTTTGGGCGGCGTTCTGTCGTATGGACAGGATTTCGGTTCTGCCAGTTGCAACCTGCGGGCGGATTTTGGGAAAATTCGTGGGGCAGATTTGAAACTTGGGCCAACGGGATGTCACCTGTTTTCTGGGTTGGTAGAATGTTTGGGTCACGAGAGTGCGGAAGAGAGGGTTGTGTGCGGCGGAGGGAAGATTCCAGCAGTTCGAGATCGGCCAAGTCCTGGTTTCCTCGGAGGGGTTGGAGCATTCCTCGGATTCACTGGTTTCTGCCGAGGGTTTGTCACCTTATATGCGAAAATTGCGAGCGGATGCGGGGTTTACAGAAGGGCCGATTCGCATGTTTCACATGTAATTGGGTGCTTGGGGCAACGTGACGGTGAACCCTCTCGTGCTGAGTTGCTCCTTTTTTCAAATTTTGTTCGTGGACTTGTGTCCCGTGGTCATCCCTTTTCATTGAGGGTGGGGTTCTTTTAAGGATTCTTGGTTGCCGGGGGGTCATTTGAGTTGGCTCGTCGACAGTTGCAGAGGGCCGCCGTTGGATATGACAGTTTTTCATGCGAGTGGTTTGGTGTGTTTCTTTTGACCTGCCGGGGCGGGGAAGCTTGACTCTGGCTGAGTTGGCCCTTGTCAAGTTGTGAAGCCTTTACCCAGTTGTGCGTGTCGTATGGGAAAGGAAGGGGGGAGGGGGATGATTGTTTGTCTATGTGGAAAGTTTGAGACCTTTTCCAGCGGTGACGTTGCTGGAATTGGCGCTGGGGCGTTGGAGTGCATAGACACAGATGTCCCCCAGGATCAAAAAATAGTCACTAGTCCAAATATTGATTCTGGAGGTCGTGTTCGCAAGCGACCCAAATACTTGAAGGATTACGACTGTAGATAAATATTTGCTTTTATACAGTTTCGTTTATGACTACTTTTATTGTATCATCTTGTTTAAACCATCTGGCTATGAGGTGAGATATTTTTACAAGGGGAAGGGGTTAAAATTAAATTAAAAAAAAAATTATTATGATTACTTTATTCAATTTTGAGAATGAAACTTGTGGAGTTTCATCTTAAACAAGGGAGGAATTCTGTAACGGATTTTTTTATCCTTGTGTTTTAGTTTAGTCTGTTTTTTTATATTTGTCTATATGCTTTTTGAAGGCCCTTAATTTGGATATACTTCATTCGGGTCCGGTTACTGTAAGACTCCGACCACCATCAGGTCGTGAGGAAAAGGACTGATGTCGGACGTGTTTTCATGTGTTATCCGTTTTATGCTGTTTTGAGTGTTTTAACTGTGGAGCTGCCTCATAATAAACCACAAATCCGGAATCTGAGTCTTCTGATTCTTTCAACACACAGAATAAAAACCGATCTGTGACACTTTGACATAGACTTTTGACCTTAGAAAAATTCTTCTTATACTTTACTATTGCTATTGCATTTTTCATGATTATTTTGAGACCGTTTTCGCGAGTTGGCGATTACAACCTAGTTTGCACTTTTAAAAACCATCATTTTGATTAAATATATCCAACTACCTTCCATATAAAAGTGGGTACCGGTAAAATTGAAAAGAAAAATGCATTGAAGGATTTCAATTTTGGTTTCAGAAAAGACTCCACAACCGAGCTCGCAATAACAGAATCGATGGGAAAATATTTGAAAATTTGTCAAATGGCAGAGTTACTAGTAGGCTACTGTTTTTTTTTTGGAATTAGTTAAAGGTTATTGTTACTGTAAACCATAAAACTGTGCTTGGTAAAATGTCAAGACAACAGTAGGCCTACATTAAATACATAACATGTGGTGCACAACACAAGGAAGCACTCTTGGACCTCTTCTACTTTTAATATATATTAATGACTTACGAGTAGCAACTAGCTTGAACTCGAGACGGCACTCATTGATTCCGCTACACGATGTGAATAACTTCATCTTTCTATAAGAGAAAAATCAAGATGGTCAACCTCTGCTAAAAAGTAATAAATTATCTTTGAAACATTCAAAATCTAAATTCAAGGTTCAGGGTATCAGACAAACGTCTTGGCAGCTCCAAATTGACGATAAAAAAACAGAAAGAACAGAATTTATTAAATGAAGAACTTGTCTTGAAAGTATCATATTGATAACTTATGTAAAAAAGTTTCACGATCGCTCGGAATGTAAATTACTTACGCCAAGTCCATAGAATCGATGCATTGAAAGTTATATAATGATATATATTATATATCATATATTCCCATTTGAAAAATAGCGTTATCAGTTCGGGATGACGCTCTAAATCTAAAATTACCAGTGATCCTACACAAAGTTGGTTCTACAGGAGTCCATTCGCTGCATGCTGTTTTCCGAATCACGGCGCGTTCATAACTCACTATTATACAAGCTAAATAAAAATCATATACTACCTTCAAAGTTTTACTAGAATTTTTTACTAGAATTTTAACCATCCATAATCATACCACAAGAAAAGTTACTTACCACAAAAAGAACTTATTTCATGCATCGGTGCTCAATTTCGATAGCAAAATAATCGCCTAAAACAAAATGTTTTTATTTGAAAAAATCTCCCATTCTGTATTGAAGACAACTCATGTACAACCGTAAATATATCGAACCAACGACTAAAAATCATCTCCTGATGACTATGAATAGATGGGAATAATAGATCCCATGTTATTTCTCATATTCAAGTAGTTATATTAAAAATCGGGAATTTAGAACGTAAAGATTATATAAAAAGAAAAACAATTTTGATCAAGTTTTGATTGTGTTACTATTGTAATAATAATTTCGTCACTAGCAGTTCTCAATTCGAACAACAACCGTGTATACAAAACCATAGTTTGTGTTATTTCTTTCATATAATTCTCATCTTTAAATAGCTGCAATAATTCATAGGGTGTCACTGCTAGTTAACCTTTAGAGGCTTTCTATGATTCTCATCACCTGTTATTAGCAATGTTTTGCCCCTTTTTGTAAATGTGTGTTTAATTTATACAGGGTGATGAATAAATATTAATATTTGATTACAAGTTGTTAAGTGTCGTTACGTAAATATAGTCAGATGGATATATTTAGTGATTTGTCAACCAAAAACAATAAAAAATTAAAAACACACATACAAAAAAGAAAATATTTGGACGTTAATTTGGCTTCTATCTGGTCGGTGAAGCAGGTCTAGCCCACCTCTTCATGCATCTGACTTGGCAATTCTGATTGGGCAATTTGGCATTAGGTGACTCCAATTATAATCAGCTTGACGATATCTTTTGAGAAATATTTTTCTATCCAAAGTATATAACTCCTGTTGCTTAATTCGGTATCCAATTCGGCAATTCTCATAAAATTATTAAATTGGTGGGGCAAAATAATTTATTCTTTTTTTTTTATTTGTATATTTTTCTTTTTACTAATTAATTAATTTTATTCTCTCGCTTTTTTCACTCCCGACTTATCATGTCTCAGTCATGATGATTGTATGTGTGTGTGCGTGCGTACCTTAATTAGTTTTAATACTTTTGGGTAAGCGAACACGTACTACTACTTTTATCAATACCTTCCCACCTAAAATACGCTATAAACCTTACTTGAGGTTTCGTTTGCTTTCTCGATTCTACAATCAGTTTTATTTATTTTTGTTTTCATCAATTATTTTATCGTCTATTGCTGATTACGAAGTCGAAATAAACTTATACTTACTTATACTTATACTAAACATTGTTTTTTGGTAAAGACGGGAGGGAGTGATACGACCATACGGCCATTCAATTCAGCTCTTCCCATTATCACTGTTATGTAGAGAATTCACATTGGGTGACTGTATATGCATGCAACGGCTAATAAGTAACATCATTAAAAGTAAAAATGTATTCATGTCTGAGTGAGAATTGGGCTCAGTGATTATTTTAGTGAATATTCAACTAATCCCAATGAGCATTTTTGAATAATGATTCACCTATACACTGCATAAGTAGGATCTTGCGAAGTAGGCCTACTGTAGACTATATGAAAGAGGATGGTAATTTCATGATGAAGGGAAGCAAGAATTAAAATTTTGCATGTACAAAGAAGGTTACAATTAAATTAACGATTGCTTATAGGTATTTTTCAACATAGACTGTTTTTTGTTGGTAAATAACCAGCGCATGTTTAAATATAATTGTAAGTATTTTTATATCATTACATAGTCATAAAATTGGTCTTCCAAAAATCGTAAATAGTCAATCATCAGAAAGATAATTTTCTAGATGTCAACACAGATTTGCAATGGGAAAATGTTTTAAAATCATTATCTTTTTTAGTGTTAAATTAATTTGTCCTATTTGGAACCGAAAGTCCCAAGGTATTAATTTGGTATTTTACAATCGGAACAAATTTTCCAAATTTGGTAAATCGGACTCCAAAACGTTCGTGTAAACACCTCAACATGACACTCGGTAATATACATTTATTTTTTGACTGACGTGATTGTGTGGCCAGTGGTCACTGGTAGAATGTAGAGAATATGTGCCGTACCTACACTACAGCTATACGAGTTATACGAACTGGTGCAGAAGCAATCGGAAGGTCTTGTTGATTACATAATGATGGTCTGCAAATAGATACAACAATATCGCTAACGCTACCGAGCGGTACGATCCAACCCAGCTAAGTAATCGACGTACGGGTCTCGTGTAGTTTCGTACGGTACCTAACGTACCGGTACTTCTAGTGGGCGTAGCATAACAATTTTTTGATATGTCAATCCTAACCCTCATCTGATTACGCCATCCAAAAATTAAATCACTACGACATCACAATCACGTCAAAGAGCTTGCCAAACATAACTGTACGGTACCGGTACCGGTACTGCGGTACGCACGATCGACCGAAATGGCATTGGTGCCGACGATAAAGAACTGACTGACGTTATCGGTCTCTCTCCTATTGGAATCGTTGCGACGAGAAAACGAGAGAAATAACTGTTCGATTTCGGGTGCTCGTTTGCGCTTCATGGATGGCAGTTCGTATAGTTTGAAGGGCTCTACTACGTCACTGTGACGTCGTAATGACGTAATTTTTGGATGGTGTAGTCAGGTGGGGGTTAGGATTGATACCTGAAAAAATTGTCATGCTACGCCCACTATAAGTACGTTAGGTAAGAAACTACATGAGACCCTCGACGTACGGTACCGGTACCGTTATGCTGTAAATACGGTAATGTTTTATGATTCATAATTATATTTCAGTCAAGCATGGATTAAACTAGACTAGTTTAACCTAATTTGAATATGTCGTGGCTTGGAGGACTGAATGACAGTTTTAATCAAATTTCTTCCTTTACTGGACAACTAGGTGGACAATTATCTAATTTTACAAAAGAAGTGCTAACCGAAGATGCTGATAATGAAATTGGTATGCTATCACCTGATTACTGTATTACTACTGTACTAGGCCAGACACACAATTTTGTTGTCTTGAGAAGTACCGCTTTAATACTGTAATATGTTTATCTTCCAATGGAAATAGGAATAGAATCACAATAAAATCAATATTGAAATTTATAGTTCATATTGGTTTCGGTCAATACCGGTACAGCAATAGCAATGTTATTTCGAATGACAATAGATTTCTGTATTTACGGAAATAACTTAGCAAACAAGGTCTCGTTCCAACACTGATAACCTAGATCGGCTATGGTTTAAGACACCACATAATATATTCCTTTATTGATTTATAGGATATTAATTTTATAATCCAAATCCCAGAACCCAATTTTATTTTATATATTACTTCTCAAAATATAAAAAAAAATTACTTAATTTTGAACAAGATAGTATTGGAGTGATGAATAAAAATAACATATTATTTTTCCATGAAATAGAAAGTAGGCTATATTTCTAAGCATTCGATAGATCACAGTCTAACTTCTTCGGATAAACAGGATCTATACATTGGACTATTGCCTATACAGTTTATTGTACCAGTTTTTATGATTTTTTAACTTGCATCACTTTTTACGTTCAATTAAAACAATGATTCTTATCTTATTGATGTTCATTAGTGTTCTTGGTATAATTCTGTCTCATCTCCATCTTCACCTAGTTTTATCTGAAGAAGTTGTACTATGATCTAACCAAAGCTCGCAAATATTGGTACTTGGAATTTTGTGAGAAGAGATTACGCTATTCTTATTTGATACGAATTGGACCTTCGGATAATTTTGTTAAATTATGTTATTGATGTTGGTATTCTTTCTCCTATTGTTGTGAAAAAATCACTTTCATCATTACTAGACCTATTGGTTTATAATTTTCTGTGGTTAAAGATTGTTGTTTTGGCTAAGAGGCTATTTCGCTATGAGGCTAACTTTTATTTCTGTATATAGTGCGAAAAATTCTATGGGATTGTTTTTTTTTGTGTGTGATGACACCATCAAAGTTGAAATTTGCGCACTTTGTGGTTTCTACGCTGACGTTTGCGACCTGGTGGTCAGTCGAAATCTAGAAGACTACCGTACCGATACTGTGAACATCCGTACTACTTCGTTTTAGCCTGTGTGCTCAGCCCATATATTTTACATAGATTTTTTGTTTATATTGCAGATGGTTCGACATATCACATATTTGTAAATTTTCTGGGTATAGATACAAATGTTTAGGGCTTAATACTTTCTGAATCTTAGCGGTGTATGCCCAGTCGTCAAGTCTTGGATGCATAATATAGAAAAATACAAATAAACTATTATTCGATTATGCCAGCATGTTTTTTTTATGCATATATTAAAGAGTTCCGCGAAGAGCTTGTGGGGAATCATGTGGGGAACAAGTTTTACCAGTTGATATATTTAGTTGATTTTTATTTACTCGAGTATCCTATTGCATTATTATTCTATTATTTTTCCAAATGCTTGCTCTGAGGTTCTTCCTGATATCAATCACTGTGTGTATTTTAGGACAAATTGATTGCCAATATTAAAAATCAATGAACCTTAGATTTGATATTCTATTAAAAAATGCGACAGCCAATATCAGCGTGGATGCTAAATTTTTAGCAGAAAAATTTTGACATAAATATTCCTAGAGTTGTTGTGCAAATTTTTAGAAATTAATACTATTCTGTTATTCTATCACTCATATCAATTCATTTTGATCATTTTATGTCAAAAAAAACATATATCTTGAGTAAAATATTGAACCCTGGAATAAAAGATTGCCCAAATGACCATCGTTCTTTAAAAAATGACGAGATTATAGGTCACAAGTCAAAGGTCATTTCACATTTACCTATTTAAAAAGATATTTAAAATATTTGATATTCAGCAAAAATGTTCAGTGGAAACATTTGTTAGGGGTTACATCAATCTTCTAAGAGGTATATAACTGACAGCAAAAACTAGTTACAGTTACCAGTGTTTAATAAAATATCTTAGGTTGCTGTATTTATTTGCTTCTGTTTTTTTTATGTCAGGACTAATAATTTATTCTGTTACATTTAACATTACCAATATTTTTTTTTCAGATTATGGAGTTGAAGCAAAAAAGTTGGAAGATCAACAAAAACAAAATGCAGTATTGGTAATTTAGATTTCACTTTTTTATTTTCTTCGTCATTGAGAACAATAGTAATGAAAAGTTTTTTGTATTTTGGCTGGAACTTTTGTTTTATTGACTCCATTTACTGAATTTATATTCTTATAAAACAGATACAAAATTTGAAGCAAGAAAATATAGATTTGAAGCAGAAAGTTCACACAGCTGAACTACACATAAGTACTTCTGGGATTGAATATGAAGCAAGATTGGAAAAGAAAACTGTAAGTGTAATATTACACCTAAGTGTTATCATCCATTATCCTTACTTCTTTCACTCCTGTAGGTGACAATCTACTTAGTTGCAGTCAGTTCTTCTACCATATCAATTGTGGATTATCACTATTTGAGAAACTTTAAGACTCATGCGAATTTTATTTTGGTTTGCTCGAGTTTGTGCAAAATGGTATGTATACCGGGTATGGAGACAGTGATTTTAAATCGAAGAGGGTTGATGACCCCAGGGTTGTAATGAACCTCCCATCAGTCATAGACAGGGAATCCATATCGTCCTTATTTCTGAGATTTGTCCTTATTTTTGATCTATTTTTAGCTTGCGTCCTTATTTTTGGCTTGCATGTCCTTATTTTGTCATATTTGTATTTCATAAAGCAAGCTTTGTGTTGTTTGTTTTATCGCCAAAGCTTTATTGTGGCATCATAAAAGCAACACAATCTTATTTGGAACACAAACAAGCAAGACACAAATAGGCATGAAGCATTGTTAGTGTGGCGATCCTTTGTCGTGGTGGTGGTTATTTTAGCCCAGATTTAAAAATGAGCAAATGTAAGAACGTTTTTCGTGATTAGTACGGGAAAGAATTCAAAGTTAAACGAAGTTTGAAGGGTGAGTGCTTGGCACACTGTGATGTCTATAATTGTTACATTATCCTCGAGGCCATACTGCCTGGAGGCTCATAATGCAGAAATTTTTCCATTCAGCCTTATTTTGAGTTCCAGATCGATGAAATACCTGGTCATAGGTGTAGCCATGGCATGGCCCCCTCTCAGAAATTTTCAACAATATTTTTTAAATGCAATTTTGCTGAATTTGCAATGAGATAAATTCTTACGCCTCTTCAAATACCATTTTACTCTATTCTTGAATGATTGACTGAAAGCCGGTCGTTTCCTGGCTTGTTATAAATAGATGAATCAATCGAGATAGATGATAATGTGCGCTTATATACCTTTGATTACTTCGACAGTGAAGTAAGTATGTAGAGGAATTTACACAGTGCAACCACGACTTGAGTCGCAACGCCACTAGGTGTCGCCCCGCTGAAACACGATAAATTGCTCGTGGGTAAAAGGGAAGCCTTTCGCTTACCTTGCACCAAAGTGGCTAAAAAATTTATGGTCACTTTGCCTTGCACTCGTTCATTGACGGCGCTTCGCTGTGTCTTGCACCTCATGGGTAGCAAAACGCCCTTCATCACATTCCAGCGAATTGCTAACGAAAAGATGTTAATTATTTTCAACGTTTCCCTCGCTTTGCGCCTCGTGGCTAGTGAAACACGGCTTGAATAAATTCCAGTGTTTTCCTCGTGCCGCGCCTTGCTCATTGGGTTAATTCGTCAAGACTAAAAACAACTAAAAACTGACTAATTTAATGCAGGGATGTCCAAATCAAATTTAAATTCAAATATCGCAAACTTCAAATACTGTTTGTTCGTGTTTATAATAATCCCGAATATGGCGCACATATCCTAGCGTCGTCGTCCATGTGTGGTTCGGCAATATATTACAGCTGACATGGAAGAATTTCGATAAACGCCGACTTGAAGAACTTATAAGACTTCGAGGACGTTTTTGATTGAAAATATTTTCTTATCGTGTATTTTAACTTAGTCAAGATGGTTAAGGCGTCCTCGGCAAATTGTGTCTTAATTAGTTGTTTTCATCCTCAGTTTCGATAGTGACCGAACATAACAAGAAATTTTTTCATTTCTTGTAATTTAGCGCGTATAAAATAGCTCGTATTTAATATCTATCGCGGATTTCGTCGGCATCCGGCGTTGATGGCAACATCGTTCTGTTTAAGTTAGCGGTATTCATTTACAAACAAAAATACATAACAGCCGACACGAAATATTAAAATCAGCGCAGAGTTCAAAAATAAAACACGTTTTAGACGAAAGGACAGAGAAATAAAGACTAAGAACGGTATGGTATGTTTGTGTACTTTTGTTTACCATCGTCATCATAATCAAATAAGTTGAACCTGATTCCCAAATTTCCGTCAGCCAATAATGGAGAATAAAGACGGAAAAACGTGTTTTAATTTTTGAGTCGGCGTTGATTTAAATTTTTCATGTTATGTGTTATAATTTTTTGATTATAAACCAATACCTCCAACTTAAAATGAACGATATTGTTATCAACGACGTCGGGATAACGATAATAAATGTTTTTAAATCAGAACGTGGAAGGGGGCAAGGATGTGTACGGCGTTTTCGGTTTTCGGCCTTTCATATGTAGAAAATCTTAGGTTAAGAAGCAATATTTTTCCGAAAATAATTTTCGTATCCAGATTTTCAGAGTTTCTACTGCATTATTATAACATAGAGACGGGCGGCGTTACATTGCGTCAAGATGATGAAGCACGAGAGTATTCGTCACAAGAGAGAGAGAGATAGCATTATGCTATTGTCGCTTTCAATTCGCATCGACAGCGCGCGATTTCTACTTTTTTAGGTAACATATCTCATTTTCGAATACAAACATATACGCGGGGATAGCGATTATTATGTAACTAAAAAGGTATGATTGAGGTCGGGCGCGGTGTTAAATTACGTCGAGGTGATAAAGCGCTGAAAAAAAAAGTAGTTTTCACCGGATTGTTATGATCGTAGAACGACGTTGTTTGAACGTAGAACAATAATGAAATGAAAAAAAAAAGAATTTCAAACGGGGGGACACGATCCCCGTAACCCCCCGCTGGTTGCGCCACTGACCCAACGGGCTGGATTTGGCCTGTGGGCCGTAGTTTACCCGTGTCAGATTTACAGCTTTTGCTAGATAATCTTGATTAGGTATTGGAAAACATCGAATTAGATTTTTATCATTGTTTGAGTCGATTTCGCTTATTGCAACACATATATCAAACCAGGTTTAAAGTTTTTTCATTATATTTGCCCTTTGAAATTTTCTCGCATCAAGCGCATATCATCTTTCACCTCTATGAAGATCAGGGCAAACAGAATCTAATTATTAAACCTATATGGTTATATCTCTTAAAACGTACATTGATAATGTATTACAGTGACTTATTAGACAAATTTCACTTTGGGGATACTTCACCAAACTATAGTAATTGGCTGTATCGTTATGATGTGTTATTAAACCTTTTTGACACATGAACTTAGGTAATAATGCATTAGTGCAATGTATTTTTAATTTTTGCTTTGGCCAGAAATGAAACATGCTTTATCACAGGTAAAGTCAGTATCTGCTTTTTCATATCAAATTAATATAGCATAATATAAAGTGGATCCATAGGGATTCATTTTCTCAATACCTACTTTAAATCGAGTTTATCACATGACGAGCATGAAATATAGTCCAAATCTTTATTTTGCCCTAGCGCAGAACAGAACGGTTCTTCAAACACTACTATTTCAGCGGTGAATTTTGGATGCCCACACTGTCACTGTCAACAAAACAAACATTTAGGGACAGGTACACAAATTCGCACCGTGCCTTTAAATCACGGTTGAGAACAATATCATTAATTTGAATTGTCGTACGATGATGAAAAAGCTGTTGTTATTGGCGCTCATGTACAAATTGAAATGAAATCTTATACTCTTACAATAAACGAAAAAAGCATCATGAATTTTGAATCAGGAGCCCTGTAGTGGATAAAATATGTTATCCTTCTTTATACCGATATTTTAGTCATGTAAATCGCGGAAAATAATTTGGAAACTCTATTTTAGATACTATAAATCGCAAAAACATAAATTTCCTGGGTTATGCTCAGTCATCAACAGAATACAGAAGCGATACCACACGCGCTGAAAATGGAGAACAGTTAATTCCGCTTACAATGTGTCCGTTTATCTAATAAAACGAGCGCAATATAAATTTCCGCCGCTCTTTATTCCGGATTAGCCTGAAACAAAATCCAATCATTGTAAAGTATTTTAAATCGCTTTGCTCTTCCACCGAAATAAGTTGTAGTTGTGGCATAGTTGAAGTATCGTAGCATTATAAATTAACTTGTCTCTAATTAAACTTTATTATTTTTTCAAGATATTTCCGGAGTTATTACCGGCCGGACCAAAAATAATCAACATCATTTAAAAAAACAAGTATTCAATTTGCGGCGATTGTCGCTGTAAAGGAATTTCCAAGTTCCGATATTAACTTGCATTTTGGACGGCCTGACAGCCCGTCTGCGCTGATCCATTGTCGATATTCCTTTACTATACCCAATTATTATTATGGTATTGTATACCTATCACGTAAAAATGATCGGCGCCATTTTTGTACGGAGAATTCCGCTTGAACAGGACACTTCATCGCGTATCCTGCCACGTGTTAAATTCTACTATACTCATCCCTTTTGAGTGGTGCTTGAATGTAAGAAATGGCCACTAAATGGCGCCATTGGGCCATTGACTAATTTGCTTCCATTTGATTGAAGTTGAGTACCGTGAATTTTGAAAGCCCATCGATCAAAAGCTTTGGTCGAGAAAGTGCAAAACGCGCCATAAATGGAGAGATGGAATTTTCAACAGATTCAGACCTGCTTTCTCTTCCGTGGATACGTTTTATTTTTATTCAAATCTCCCGCCTTTTTTGATTTTTTGAGATTGTCTTCTGTTACACTTACTTTAAAATCTTTTGTTTTATCATCTCGCTGTTTGGAGCATCGAATATCAATTTTCTTTCATTGGTAACTGGGTATTCACAAGAACAAGAATGTATTCGGTTTTAAGACATGGCTAGACAAAGTAAACGGGCGAGCATTCTCGAAATAATCGTAACTCGTGGACATCGTAAAATCGTCATTAAGTTTGGGATGTGTGCGAGGAGCAAGTTTGTGGTAATGCATCACGGTGTGTTCTCGATCATTATGACCAGAGGTTGGATTCATGAATTGGCCTGAAGGTCTGACTAACATAAAAATGGTGCACAATTCACTTCATATGCGGAATACATTTGTCAACGCCGCCCTTTGCCTCAAAACTCGTTTCAATGAGTTTAAAATAAAATCA